CCCCGTAATTGTGAATTGCGAATCAACAGGATCAGCACGCATTTTGTAACTTTTCTTTTGACTGAAATCCTGTAGTTTTACATTGTAAATTTAGATTTCCTTACTTTTTACAAAGTAGATTTTTTCCATTGAAGGGTAAAAGGATTGGGACAGTTTGAGACATTCAGTTGTGGTAGCATTGTTAATGTAATCGGTAGCCTCCTTCCATCGATCGAAGATTTCTGGAAGATGATGACTGAAAAGGATTCTGGGATAGAAAATCAAAGATGGCGTCGCACGACTAAAATTACTAGTAGAGACAAAAATAATTGCATCCTTCATTCACACAAATGGAATATCGAAACTATTGAATCATTATCACAATRTTTTGTGGCCTATAATGATTTTTAAGAGACATTTTTGCAAATATACTATTCCCAGCCCATCCCTAGTCCTCGGCCTTGTTTTCAATCAGTGTTCATAAGCCCGCATTTGTTGGATTTTCAATATTGTTTTTAAAAGCTCGAAGCCATCTTGACRCTAGATCATTATCAACAATCCTTGCATCACAGGACAGTGTRACTGTCATAACYTTTTGTAGGGCATCGTCATCTGTCAAAGCAAGTCTTGTGCCACCAACAGCCAAGATGGAAGCCTGTGGAGGGTTGATTACAGCTGAGAATTCAGTAATTCCGAACATGCCGAGGTTGGAAATTGTAAACGAGCCACCTTGGAACTCATGAAGCTGAAGCTTGTTACTTCTCGCTCTTGATGCCAAGTCCTGTTGAAGAAAGAAAAAAAAACGCGATATACTAAGAATACTTTAGACGGTTTTCTTGCTGTTGACATCTTGCTTACATTACATTGGTCAAAGAAAACACTTTCAACCTTTTTGCCTGATGTCCTATTGACGTCGTACGATGAAGTACAAATTAAGAATTGTTGCAAGTCATATTGTTTTGTGAAATACAAGTACTAATTATTTCCTTACAGGGAGGGAAGGATAGGAAAACAAAAGGGTATAGTTTGTGAGGGAGACTAGTTCCCCAAGTACACTCCAGTGTCAGTACAACCATCTTATTTGATGATTTTATAAACCATCCTTGAAAACAGATAACGTTTGTAAAAACACTTGTCCTCCGTAGCCTATAGGTGGGCGTACAATGTTTGTTTACATCCAAAATATAAAATTCAAAAAATTAGCAATCTGAGCTCATATAATTCAAGATTATATTAATGTCAAYAAAACYTGAAAATTTTAGGGCAGACGGCTTTTTATATTTCGAGATATCGGCATTTCAAAACTACAAAATCTATAGAAAACCCGTGGCAAAATATTGCCAACCATGGTCATTTCTTTTATTTAGAAAATCTTGCAAATTCGGCGCTTGATAGCTCTTAAAATATTTAACCAATTACCTTCAAATTTTTCAGGAATTGCTAACAGGTATGATCTCTTTTCATTTATGGCCCTGATTTTCCTTTAGCTTGAAATTCGATTTCAGACTTTTATGCAAATTAGCTAAAACGTAAACATTGGCGCCCACCTATACAATCATCATTATACAACTTGATTGTTTTATCAATACCAGAATGYACTACGAAGAACACTAAACCAGAGAGTACATGGAACCACACTTGACTCAGGTATAGTATGACTTAGGTAGACTACAACATGCAGCCCAACAAAAACTGATGTTTACGTAACACCAATTTTGGTTGGGCAGCACGCAGGCTAATTACTTTGAGAATGAGGGATATTTGTGTGACATCCAAGTGCGCTGCGTCTCGAATTACAGGTGTTATCAGCCCACCATCTGTTGCCACAGCAACTGCAATGTCAATTTCATCCAGCAACTTTGGTTCTTTTCCGTCCCAAACAGCATTCATTTCAGGAACTTGTTTTAACGTGATTCCAGCAATTTTCACAATAAGATCATTTATTGACACCTTAATATTGAATAGGAAACATTAGTAAATTATCATAAGCAACCACATCATGATCAGAATTGTCATCAACTACATCATCAGTGATACCATTAATGACATCATCAGTGATACCATAAATAACATCATCACTGATACACATCAATGACATCATCAGTGGTTCCATGAATGACATCATCTGTGATAACATCAATGACATCATCAGTGGTTCCATGAATGACATCATCTGTGATAACATCAATGACATCATCAGTGGTTCCATGAATGACATCATCTGTGATAACATCAATGACATCATCAGTGGTTCCATGAATGACATCATCTGTGATAACAT